CTATGAACACCGATTTATGAGTGTTGGCCAGAGCCTCTCAATCCATTATCATTATCACCACCATCATCATAGCCAACATCATCACCATCATCATTGTCATAACCATCATCATCATAACCATCATCATGATCATCTGAACCCTGATGTGCAAGTATCTGTCTGGGCCTCTGATTTCATCATCATCATCATCATCATCTTTATCATTTTGTATATGTTTGCAAACAGACTTGATGGAATGTACAGAAGTTCTGTTTAAATTCTGCGGAAGAGCTTACCTGTCTTCCACAGTGGCTCTGTAATTTACAACACTACCAGCAACATACAGATGTTGTCATTTCTCTGTGCTATCCGTCACATATTTTCTTATTTTTATGATAGGCATCCTGATGCCTGTGCAGTAGTATCTCATTGTGATTTTAATTTGCATTTCTAAAATAACTGACGTGTTCAGCATCCTTTTCTACCTGTATTGCTATTCCGTGGATCTTCTGCGAAATGTCTCCTCAGATCGCTTTTCTGCTTACAGCTGGGTTGTTCTGCTTCGGCGGTTGTGTGGTAGCAGTTCTTCACAAAGTCTGCATATTTACCCCTTGCTAAACACATGGTTTGCAATTAAGCTTATCATTCTGGGGGTGTCTTTGATGAAGACCTCTGATGAGGTCTAAACCCTGTACTTTCCTGTTGTTGCCTGTACTTTTGATGTTAAATGCACATCATTGCCAAAGTCAGTGGTGTAGAGACTCCGGTATTTTCTTTTAAGAGGTTAATAGTTTTTTATCTCTTACATTTTTATCTTTTCTTTTGTGGTGCTGGGCACAGAACCCAGGACCTAATATATGCTTTGGGATCACTCTATACTCAGCCACACCTTCAGTCTTCATTTTCATCCATCTGGTTATATTAATATATGACTTAAATAGGGATCTAACTTTGTGTCTCAGCATGTAGCTATCGGAGTTTCCAGCAGACTTCCAAGAGAACTTCCCTTTACTCTTGGCTGGAGTTGGAACTGTTCGCATTGCTTCTTTCATAACTGTGACCTTACCTGGCAAGGGGCTATTCAGAGGAGAAAGAACTTATTTGCTTCCTGGTTTAAGAAAGAATTCTGTCTATCACGGTAGGGAAGCCTTGGTGGTAGGAGTATGAGGTCATTGGTTACCCTGAATCTATAATCAGGAAGTAGAGAGCAGACAGGAAATGGGGGTAGGCTATGAATCCTTAAATCAAACTTCAGTGACACTTCCCTAGACAAGGCTTCATTTCTTAAAAGTTACACAAAAATCAGTGCCACCAGCTTGGGACATAAACCCATGGGGAACACCTTTCACTCAAACTGCAATGACATCCTCATCAGAAAGCTCTTGGCCTTGGATTGTTCCTGAAGCCTCGGAGCTGTCTTAGTGGCACACACGCCTGACCTAATGACAATGCCATACTGTATTGGCTACTGTATTCTTGTGAATATTATTTTAAGATGTGTGACACTTGTTTATGCTGGAGAACATTTGTTTCAATGGTGCAAAGATGTGTTACTCTCTTCTATGCTGCATTTGTTTAACTCTGTGAAGCTGTGATTCTTTGCCTGTCTAGACATCTGATGGTCTAATTAAGAACTAATGGCCAATAGCGAGGCAGGAGAAAGGATAGGTGGGACTGGCAGGCAGAGAGGATAAATAGGAGGAGAGCTCAAGGACAAGAAAAGAGGAGGTTAGCCACCCAACCATCCAGCCAACCACAGAAAAAGAGTGAAAGTCAGATTACAGAAGAAAAGGGAAAAGCCCAGAGGCAGAAGGTAGATGGGATAATTTAATTAAGGAAAGCTGGCTAGAAACAAGCCAAGCTAAGACTGGGCATTTATACGAAAGAATGAGACTCTGTGTGTGATTTATTTGGGAGCTGGGTTGTGGCCCCCTGCCAAAAAAGCCAAAAGACCAAAGAATAAAGAGTAAAAAAACAACAATAACATGTTGGCTTTCCAACGTGGGGCTAGAGGAAAAGAAAATCCGACAACAGTTGGTGTACCAACATGGGCCCGTATTTCCATGTAGGGCCTGAGAAAGCTGGGGAAAACAAAGGGAAAGAAAAGAAAAAGGCATGACTCCTTTAAGAGGTGTTACTGTTCAGTCAGCAGGCTAAACAGAAACTAAAAGCATCAAGCTAGGTAAAAACTGCTTGTGGCAAAGCAGGTACTGCATTCCTACAACTAGAAAGGCTGAATGTAGTTCCTGGTCATGCACCTGCAACTGGCCGTGAGCTTTAGGCTTGGCTCTCATGAACCTAGAAGCAGGCAGAGCTAGCTGAGACCATGCGAAGGATTCAGGGGTAGTTTAACAGTTTAAAGTTTTCTTACACAGTCAAAAAAGACTAGAGAAAAGCAGTAAAGACAGATTCAGATGGGAAAAAATATCTCTAAACAGGTTCCAGTGTGTTTTACAATGCGTGTAGGCTTAAAAAAGGAAAAAAATGGGTATAGACAGTCATAGAAAGAAATAGTTAAAATTAATGAAGTTTTTAAAAGAGAACATAAAAGTAATCTGAAAGAATAAAGCCATGTAAGGTGTGAAATTCACAGAGACCTAGTGTTACTGTGTTGATTTTGAATTTTTTGAATGTTGATGAGCAAAAAGACAGCTGCTAAGAGAGATGGGATTGAGAGAGTGATTGTTGAAATAAACCAGCCTATGTACTTTAAGAATGCCTTTATTTTTTAAAAAATCTATTTGTCAAATGGAAGTCAAAAATGCTTCAGAGAAGAGGTTTTGCTTTTGTTTCCATAGGAAACAAGGAGCTGTGGATTTTTTTCCAAGTTAATATGGATCAGGTTTGATTAAGAGAGAACTCCTGAAACTTATAGGTGATATCTATCAACAAAGGTTATAGCTTCCTAGGACTTGGCTACTAGCTTAAATTTTCTCAGGAATCCTAAAGATGTGTCCACCTACATTTAGCAGGAAGCAGTCTAGGGAACATAATGTCCACATTCCCAAGAGGGGTGTGGGAAGCTTTTGGTTATTTGGTGGGCTATGGATGTTTGTTAACATTTAGGGGAATATAATATGTTGATACAAATTTAAGGTTATTTTTGCTACACTATATATATATATATATATATATATATATATGCTTCTATTCTTGTTTAAAGTATTATACCGATGAAGCTCATTTAAAAATATAAGATAAGGTTCTAGTTTTTGAAAGCTACTATTATAAACTATTTAGGATGATCAAGAAACATAGGTTAGTAGTTAGTCATCTATAAATCAAATTTGTAGATATGTTAGGTGTGCTTTCAATGTCATATAGAGATATATTTAGATAGTCTTCAAACATGTCAAAGACCTATAAAATATGGAATTTAAAATGTTTTTTAATATAAGATCTTTTTCATGACAATGAGACACATCAACCCCAATTTATATCATAAATTGGCAATACCAATTTACTTCATAAAAGGATGATAGACATTGGAGAAACTCCATAGGAGTTTGCTTTCATTGTGGCAAGTTTAGTCATTTGGGCAAGAAACTGCTTTTACCTTGACTACTTGGCACGCAGGACCCACAGGAAAATGACTGTTGCACTTTGCCAGAACAAGGCAGGACAGTCCTTCAGAGTTCCTGCTTCATGGAAGAGTCTGCCAGACATTCTGCTGGACACAGAAGAAAGTGACTGACAAACTTTGCCAATACAAGGTGGCACAGTCCTTCAAATTTCCAGCTTTACAAAAAAATGTGCCAGATATTCTAGGCCTGTAGGCTAAAAATGGATGCCCCAATATTGCAGAGAAACTTTGGGTGACTGTCCAGGCAGTCGGATGTCTCTTCTATTTCTAAAGTTTTGGAAGCTGCTTGTAATGTACTTCCTGTTCACTCAAGTAATATTATATCCTTCCGGGGTCTTTGGAGTTAAAGACTAGATAGTTATAGTTGCAGTTTTCCTTAGTTGTGATAGAAAATAAATTAAGTGTAAAACTTTGAATTTACTAAGAGAATAAATAATGCATTATTTTCTTTGAATATGCTAGCTACAAGTGGACAGAGTGTTATAAATATAATTCTTACTTGATAATTCCTTTTGTTGTGTTTAGTTTTATTATATTAAAGTTAGAATCTTTTTTATATTTAGACAAACGGGAGAATGTGAAATATTATTTTAGGATGTGTTACATTTGTTTATGCTGGGGGAACATTTGTTTTAATGATACAAAGATATGTTGCGTTCTTTTATGTTGAATTTGTTTAACTCTGTGAAGCTGTGATTCTTTGCTGTCTAAAACACCTGATGGTCTAATAAAGAATTAAATGGCCCAAAGCAAGGAAATAGAAAGGATAGGTGGGGCTGGCAGGCAGAGAGAATAAATAGGAGGAGAGATCAAGAAGCAAGAAAAGGCACTGGGTGGTGGTGGCACACACCTTTAGTCCCAGCAGTTTGGAGGCAGAGACATTTTGAGGCCAGCCTGGTCTACAAGATCTAGTTCCAGGACAGGCTCCAGAGTTACAGTGAAGCTCTATCT